AAGTTTTTTTAAAAAATTTAAAATCGATCCAAATGGATATTCATATCGTGAAATATCAAATCAAACAAAAAATTGTACGAAAATAAAGTTCGAAAAAAGGACATTGGAATGAGGTTGGGATTGAAAAAGAAACATAAACAATCACGGCTTTACGTTTCACAATTAATGTAAAATTATTTTGATATTTAAAATTTATCTATTGTATATTTATCATGGATGCACTTCAACATTTCCAACAAATTTTAAATCGCTTAAAATGAATAGTTGTAACTTAAAATACTAAATCAAACGTTAAAAAAAAAAGGGCATAGCCGAGCCGCGCCGAGCCATAAAGTTCAAAAAAAAGACTTTGGAATGATGTTGGGATTAAAAAAATATATAACCANAAAAAAAAAGGGCATAGCCGAGCCGAGCCATAAAGTTCAAAAAAAAGACATTGGAATGATGTTGGGATTAAAAAGAAATATAAACAATCATGATTTTATATTTCACAATTAATGTAACGAATATTTGTAACTTAAAATACTGAAAAATAAAAAAACCCCGGCTTAGAAATGGCTCAGCTCGGCTTATGAACAGTACCACCAAACTCCCTCTTTTATTTATGTAGGATAATCAAAACTTTCAACAATCTCTGTTTTTATTTTCATCCAGCAGAACCCTAACAAATGGTATCAGAGCAAGTCGATTTTATGGTCCAAAAGAAGAAAGAAAGCAGAGTGAAAGTAATGGAGAAGAAGATGAAGGAATTGAAATCTGAGATATAGCGCTTATCAGGCCTAGAAAGATCAGTGGAACGCCTCAAACAGAGCATGACAAATATGCTGCAATCCATGGAAGATACACAGAAGGCTGTGGCAACCCTGATTAATCCAAAAACTGGGAAGAGTAGAAATCTTGAAGGAGAGGAATCAGGTAGCATCACAGCAAGTACCACCCACTACACACCAGGCGGGACAACAAGAGCTGAATAAGAAGAGATGGCCGGAAGGATCAAGGGAAGCTAGTTATGGAGGAATCACGATGGGCAAAGGCCAGAACATGGAGGAAAAAAATTGGAGGCAAATCAGAAGTTAGAATTGCCGATATTCAGTGGAGACAATCTGGATGGGTGGTTGTTTCGGGGTAAACAATACTCTGAAATTAATGGGCTGGCTGAACGAGAGAAGATGTGGGCGATTGGGGTGAGCTTGGATGGAGATACCTCATCTGGGTTGCAAGGGACAGAAGTGAGGAATCTGTTCTACAGCTGGGAGCAATTCCAGCAACAACTTCTGCTTTGCTTTCGGCCAACACGGGAGGGGAGTTCGTGTGAAAAGTTCTTGGCCGCAAATCAAGAGGGGACGGTGGTGGAACTCAGATGAGCACTTGAGACTTTGTCTGCACTGTTGAAGGGGATCTCTGATGAGGTGCTGGAGACCACATTGATGAATGGACCGAGGCTTGAAATCATTGCTAAGGTCCACTTGTTCAGCCAAATTATGGATGTAGCCCAAGAGGTTAAGAACGTGAATTGGGTGAAAAAAAAAAGGCAGGGGAGCCCACAACCCAAAGAACCCACAAATTTAGCCCAACTTTAATCAAACCAGACCCCTTACCTACGAGATCGGTGACAGTTAGGGAACAATGGACCATGCCACGCAAGGAGTTCACCACCACGCTCATGCCAGATGAGGAGATGGAATAGCTGAAAACTGTGACGTCGGAAGAGCACACCAACACTTCCCTAACTCCCACCTTGAGGACAAGGTGGATTTGGAAACCGGGGGTAATGATAGGCTCCAATCCACCTCACTTATTCTAGAAGGGAATAGAAGAATTAACCTATAAGTGCGCGGGGGGTGGGGGGGAATACGTAGTGAGGTGAGGAGAATCAGTCCTATAGTCTGTACTTGTTTTTATGCAGTATAATCAAAACTTTCAGTAATCTCTATTTTTATTTTCTTCCAGCAAAATCCTAACAACATCACTCAATAGTAAACATATAATAGAATTATAGAAGTGGGCATCAGCAAACTTAACCTGAAATTGATCCAGTATTTAAGTCGAATTTGTTTCTTTCAACTCTAAACAAACCAATGCTCACAGTTTATTAGTTAAAAATCAAAATCAGCCTATCCACAGACCATAATTAGCAAAATTCTCGATCAAACATATCCCAACCACCCAGAGTCCACACAACAATTAATACACACAGAGCCAGCCCCACAAATACATAAAAATTCCTTCAAACTTGACACTAGTCACTTAACAATATAAACATAATTCCATCTCATTCATTGTACATCATACAATGGTGATAATTAAAAATGAGTGACAGACAGAACATGAAATAATAAGATAGTACTGACCTGAAGAGTTCTGGTGGCAAACTCAACTCCGATGGTGGATTTGGACTCCAAACAAAATTCATTTCTGGTGAACCTGGAAAGAATATTTGATTTACCAACTCCTGAATCCCCGATCAAAACGATCTTGAACAGGTAATCGTACTCATGATCCACTCTATTCGCCATCCCTTTCAACTACTTTTTTGTTTCTCTCACTAATCCCTCACACCTACACAAAGAATACCATAAACTAGAAACGAAGATTAAAATCAGATCCATACTATTCAGATCTATATTTAGATCTCAATACAGACTCAAAAACCCATAAAAGGAAAAAAATTCTTACATGAAAATACATAAATAACTTTGCAGAAAAAAAGTATAAACAAGAAAATGAAAAAAAAAATGTTCAATGGGTATTCATAGCTTACCGTAAAGGAGAGATCGGAGTGAAAAGAGTGCCTGAAAATTCAGAATAAATAGGCCTGAAGGAAATGATAAGAAAACGGAGGAAACAATGGCAGCGCAATATGTTTTGAAACGGCCAACATCAGTGGGTAATGG